TCCGGAAGTGGCATCGTCTTCGTAGCTTTTGCATCGTATAAAATCCACGGTCATTGGTTCCTTGCAAGACCACCGAGCATTTGACAGCTCGTCTACCTTAAACATAGAGAAATAAAACAAACCTCCCGTAATAACTTCGTATAGCTCTACTAACCAAGTGGCGAACTGCGGCGTAAAACAGCAGTTATCCAATAAAAAAAGTCAAAATGGTAGCTTCTAAGAGCATTTAATCAGCTGATGAGAATTGGGTACAAGCAGAATTTGACTAGTTGTGCTTGATTCGAGTACCATGCCCATGATGCCCCTTGTCATTCCTTTGCCTAGATCAACACTAGAACCACAGAACGGAGGGCTCATTCTTCAATCTTCAGTGAGCTATCATGAAATAATTGACTTTGGACACAACTCGACTTCTGACCGACCCATCTGGCCCAGAAATGTGGTATTACATATAAGATTGGGCCTCAATATAATATGGAAACAAATATTTATCAATCTAGTATTTCTTCCTAAGGAATCCTGTTTTTGTGTTCGTAATTTGCATTACACTTTTTCAACTTGGGAGTGGTGTTCAGATCGTGGATGACATCGTCGACACTGGCCTCACACTATCGAAACTCATCCACACCATAGAAGAATACGGTAAGCGCTTGGTCGAAACATGTGCAGATCGTATGAAGATGGTGATGGTGTTTGTGGCCCTCAAAAACGCATTCGGCAAGTGCAAAGAGTGCGTGGTTCGAAAGTGAGACTGCAGGTGCTAAGTGAGTGTACCAATTAACGGAAGCGATTATGATAAAGGGCCCGGAGAATTAAATAGGCCACGAAGCAGCTAACTTGGCTGTCAAGGAAGCCAGATGTGTAGTGCTTTAACGACGGAAGGTGCCGAAGTTGTTAAGCAGTACTTGAAAATCGCCACCTCCCTGGTGCACTTCACCAGTTTAGTAGGCGATTTGGGCGTGCTGTGCCAGTAGCGGCACATGGAGCAACTCGACATGGATTGGCATGGTGCCACCACGTGTTGGGGTGAACTCGTCCATACGTCCGCCGTACTAGTCACTGCCCATCTTTGAGCAAAATCAACGGCCAAGGGGGTCACGTTTTGCGTTTTCTGGGCAGATTTCTGTGCTTTTCATGTCGTTGGCATACCATTGAGTACACCCATGTCCCGTCTAAACCTCCAGAACCTATCGTGTTCGCTGTATTAAAGAAGAAA